TTTACACTGTAACCCAGGACAGATGTCTTAAAGATACCTGAGTAATTTAGGTGCTGTTATTTTCAAAAGCCTCGAAGGTTTCTGTGGTGCAGAGACCATGTTTCTCAGTTCTGCAGCATGATGCTTTCAGACATCTTTCTAACTCCTGGCCTTTTGAGTCTTAATGTAACCACTCAAAAAGAAAACACTCGAAGGCACTAGTCTTATTTGCTGGCCATAGTTGTATCATCTTGTTGCATGGTCCTAACAGCGTGATCTGATGACAGCCCACTTCTTGGATACTGCCCATAAGAAACAAGACATTTTATGTTTAGAGGAGAGCCTTTGATTTGGGAGTTTAGCCTTTGTACAGCTGTGCAGGTTTGATGTCTTGGTCACAGCATGTTAGAGTTGTTCACTTCCTTAATTTTTGGCACTTGCTAAAGAGGTTTTATGCCTTTCTTTTATATGAGATTAAACACTAATAGTGGTTTTGCGAGCGTTTCCAGCTCTGTATCCCCATATGCAGTTTGGGACTTGGCTGACTGCCCCATTCACAGTGGGTGTTAGAGCCACCCGTACCAGCCTGGGGAGCTAGCGCTGGTGTCTGCCCGTGCTCTCGCTTTAAGCAGGATTGGAAATGTATTTAGAGGCTGCCCAAATAATATGTCTATACCTGGTGTATCTAGAGAAGAGATGAAGATCTGTTTGCATCATGTTAGTACATTAATCCAGCTCCCCTTAAGGTGCTTAGGCACATTTGGATAATGACCTGGAACAACCTAGGTAGCAGGAGGTTACATGTACCTGTCACGTCAGCCTCCGTGAGCGTGCGAGATTGCCAGCCAGCAGGCAAAAGCAGCCAATTACACCACGCTCAGAAGCATTTCATTCTTTTTTTCCATGTACCCAGCTCCACAAAGCAAATCCTGCTGTAAAGACCTCTACCTCCTGCTGGCATCACCTCCTGTCTGAAGAGATAGTGTTTAAAGTGCCCTCAGTATTTCCAGCGCGGTTTTTCTGCTGGTGTAGCGGCCACGGTGTCCTCTGCAGTGGACTGTAATGAGCTGCCCTGGCACTTGGGAACAATGTGTGTCGGCGCACTGGGTGACAAGGCGGTGCTGGGGGCTTGTGAGCTCTGTTTTCACTGCTGATGGGGGGGAGCTGCTTCATCTTTATGCTTTAGTACCCCATGGTTTTTTTCGCCCTCTCTACTTGTCAGGCTAGGGAATGGTTCCCGCTGACTGCAGTGCACAGGGGACAGTTCTCACCTGAGATTTCTGGGCGCTCCCCTTGGGTAACACTGAAAAGCAAGATTCAGCCTGTTTGTGTGTGTGTTCCCGTGTGTCCATGCGCATGTATTTTGAGAGGGAATTGAGGAAGCATCCTAGCAGATGTAAACCAGCTCCCATAACAAATGTTTTTAAATCCCTGCTTCCCTCCTCCTTTTTGTTTCTCCCCTGTCGCTCTGTCTCAAGGAGTTTTATATATTTCCAGATGACTTTTCATGCGTGGTTTTTTGTTGTCGTTGTTGTGGGGACCAGGGGAAGAAAGCCAAAGCTGCAGTGTTAATTCCTTCCCAGTAAAAGGTAGCCTGGAGCAAGAGCTGTAGGAGAGTACAGGGGAGATTTCCCTTGGTTTAATGAAAACTTTTCCCAGTCACAGCTCAAATGTTGTGGTTCTCCTGTGCATCAAACCCTTCCCCTTCCACTGTGCTTGCATCATCTTTCTCCTCTTCAACGTATTCATCTTCATGCCCTTCTCTGAATGCATTTTCTTCTTGGTCCTGTTGCTCCTTACGCACATCTTCACCAGCCTGCTCTGGCAGGAGGTGGCCTTGCCCATGAGTGTTCACCAGCTGCTGGCAGAAGGGACGTGGCTCCTTCCTTGTTCCTGGGCTGGGTGTGGAACCAGGTGTCAATGGAGGGACTGTGGCAAGCGTGGGAACAGGACAGGATCTTCAGGCAGTCCCCTTCCTTGTACTCCGCTACGCAGATTCCACGGGTCTTGTGTTTGTCTCCCTGCTTGTATATATGCAGCTTTGTCTCGTGAGCCCTCTTGTACCAGCTTAAGCCAATCATAATTGAGATGGTGGCAATAATGATGTAGAATATGTCCTTGAAATCCTCATTTTGAAAGTTTCCTGCAGCATTGTATCTTTGTCTTGACAAGGCCTGAGATAGTATTTGGGTGCTGGAAGTCTGATGTAAGTCCTCTTCTCACATTGCAAATTCCTTTACAAGTGGAGGGAGGCCGATTGCCCAGTAAAGAGTGATGGTATCTTAATCAGCTGCTGTATTTCTTTGTCATCAGCCGTGTGGTAACCAGTTGCTCTGAATCCACACTGTACACACCAGCGGGTTGGTATCCAGCCTGCTGGGCGTGAAGGTCCTTCTCGATAAAAGAGCAGTTGTACCCCTGTATGAGTGCGAGATATGTCTTGGAAGCCTTTCTTGGTGCTGGAGGATTCTTGATTGGACAGCAAGCGTTTGGCTGTACCACTCTCATCGAATACCCCGCCAGCCCTTCCGCGGGAAGTCGTGTCCCAAAGCGTGCAGGGCTTTCTAAGTAACACACTCAGAGCTGTCATTGTAAGCCACGTAACCAAAGACTTCTGCAAAAGCAGTGTTGCAGAAGGCAGTGGCAGCCACAAAGTGAAGTTGGAGCTGAAGATTCACGCGGAATGCAGTTGGTTAGCTCTGAATACAGATTTCCAGGCCCAAAGGAAAAGTGTAAGAGCACTATCTCACCCGGGTTTTATCATCATGCCATGACTTGGAGCCACAGCAGGATGGAGATGAAAACCTGTTTATCCTAGAGCTTTCTGTGAGTTTCCCAGGAGAGAAGACAGCTCTTTTGTTGTCTCCAGCTGCCTAAGCAACACCCTTACATCACCCCTGTAGATCTATGGCATCACCCACCGACTGTTTCCCAAGGCTGGGTCATGTAACATTACTGCCAACCTGCTTAAACTTCTCCTGTTTGTTTTTCCTCTGCTCCATGCACGTAGCTTCCAGTTTCATCTCCCTCTGGGTACCAATTCATTTTGCTGATGATGTGCAGGCAGGATAAATGAGCCTCCCCATCAGCTACGTGCCCACGACAGACTGGAATGCTTCATGCTTGTGGCCAAAGCAACTCCTGGAAAAGCATGGCAGAGTGGGAATAAGCCATTAGCCTCCGACCGCTGCCGGGGCTGTGTGTGGCAGCCTGTCTGGTGAACATGCACGTTTTCCTTAAAATCGTGATCTTTGAACTGACACCGAGCCAGATAAATTGCTTAGGGTAGAAGGGGTTTCTGTCATTTGAAATAAGTCAATCTGCAACTGTCAGTCAAAATGGCAACTACTAGAAGTCAAAAGTCTCTTTTTGCCTGCGTGTCCTCACTCTGCCATTACCCAGACTCTTGAGAGGGCAAATCCACCTTCAAGGTCCTTGAGTCAGCAGCTAGATTTGCTGAAGGGGCTGATACACTTGGGTCTTGCTGTCCCACCACAGTGAGAGTGGGTGGTGGATGAGCTCGAGAGGGCTGCTATCAACTTTTGTGTTGGCACTTTTTACCTCATTTACTTTAAAACCTCAGCTGCTGGAAACCAAATGGCTGGAAAGACTTTAGTTTCTGGCTATAAAAAACTGATTTCTGTTCTGGTTATGGTGAAAAAGCTGAAAAAGGAGTGGAAAGCATAAGGCACAAGTGTTGTCTTTCCCTCCTGGAGTGTTTGACAGCAGAAGCTACCATTTTTCAGGCAATTCCTAACTTGTATGGTGACTGCTCAGTGCCCAGAGGAATGCCAGCCTGATGGGGTTGCAATAGCTCTCCTGATTGTTGGAACAAACTAGATCTGAATATGCAATGTACCCAGGTCAGTTTGGAACCACAATTCCCTAAAAACCTGTGCCTTTTAAAAAACAGCCCTTTTTGTTTAATTACCCGCTGGAGAGTATCCCTGTGGTTTCTAGTGCAGTTGTGTTGGACCTGTAGTTAAAAAATCACTCGTGTACTAGGCAACTGATTTGTTACTAGCCCCCTTGGGCTCTGCTTGAGACAGATTTCACTGGGAAAAGAGCTACAGAAAATGTCAGCAGACAGTGTGTGTGTGTGCCAGAGACTCCCAGCAGCTGTGATTTCAAATCGATTTTATTTTCCCCTCATCTAAAGAGTTTTACACTTGCAGGGAGACATTTTGATGCATTTAAAAACAAAACAAGGAAAAGGTTTGGGGAGGGGAGGGAAGCCGAATTCTTTCTAGTAGAATGAGAGAGGAAGAAGAAAATGGAAGTACACTGGGAGACCTTTTGAAGGGCTCATTTTTGGCTTGGTCTTACGCTTCTTGTGTTGGCATCCACCACCCTAGTGTTCTTTAAAATCTTTGCCTCTTTACTTGCACTCCATGCTCTATTTCTGCTGCCTGATCAAAGCTTTATGTACTGCCAGGGTCCTGCTGCTTGCATAAGGGGTAGGTCTGTCTTTGGGGCTGGACAAGGAGCCATGTGTCTGTGTGAGCTGTGACAGATGTGGGATCAAGGAACGATCCCTTCTGAATTCTGAGTGCTGTTATCTCCTAATTGCTCCAGCACCACCTCTTATATCCTAAAGTCAGCAACGCAGGAGAGAGCAGCCGTTCTGGCTTGCTCACCAAACCCCTTGTACAGAAGGAGAAATCAAGTGTTCACAGTCTGCAACCTGAATCTCTGTAACTCTTAGCAGTAACCCCGAGAGACGTGGGCAAAAGGACAAATCCTCTTCAAGAGAGGTTGGAGGGCAAGGCAGAGGGGAATGGGGTACAGAGAAGGCTCTGGGGAGTGAGGAAAGAGCAACAGCTGAAGTCTGGATGGGGAGACTGATACCCATATCCCACCCACAGCGAGTGTGAGCTAGGAAACCCTAGCCCTTAGCCTCCTTTGGAATCCCTGAATGCTTTTGCAGAAGGAAGGAGAGGAGGGCTGAGGAAGGATTTTGGCCAAGATGGTCTTCACTCAAAGAGCCAAAGTGGTGTCCTGCGTGCTCTGGTCCCTCCGTGCTTTCCATTAGCATCGCTGCTGTCTGCCTCCTCCACTGTTCGTGCCCTGGAGGCTTTAGCCCCTGCTGGCTGAAGTAGAGCCAAGCATCCCACCGTGGTGTGGGGCTGTGCCAGGCTGTCTCCACCCCCATGCTGCATTCATTATAGCCAGTACGGTATTCTCCTTCTCATCCTGTCCTACCCCTGTTATATTTATGTGTTAAATACATTGCACATGCTCCTGGACGTATTCTTGACCTATTTTCTCTGGAGTCTCTGCAATCTACTTTGTTGGAATAATTGCAGTTTATTTAAATGTCAACAAGCCACACGTGGGAGACAGCAGTTGTGTGCAAGAGCAGAGCAATTACAGGGAACAGGTCCCATTTTACCACTTGAACAAAGATCCAAGCTAGAAGAAAGGAAAAGACCATTTACCTCTATTAACCAATGACTTACCCCACCACTCCCAAAGTCCCCGTGTCCCTTTATACTTCTTGTCTGGGGCTATCGCTTAGTGCAGGAGCTGGATATAAAACCAGCTCCTCCTTTTGCTTGTATTCTGCAGAAGTGTCTGCTCAACCTGGAGGAATTTAGTGCTGATTTAGACCCACATAACTGCTAGCAGAACCTAGCTCTGGTCCTGCCCAAACAGCTTAAACTGTAACAGAGATGCAGAAGAGAGTGACTTATGTGGACATCATTACAACTCCAGCAAAACACGCATTACAGGCTCCAGATCAAGCATTGATTTAAGTCTGGGAATAAGTCTAGATGGCTTTTTCCCCTCTGAGGTTTTTGCAGCATGAAAAGAGCAGCCTGGCAGTGGGATGATGTGAGCTTCTACATAATCAGACTCCTTGTCCTTTATCTGTATTAAGTCGGTGTCTCGGGTGATGGCATTGCACAGACATACAACAGCCTCTCCCTGCCCTCGACAGCCAAAGGCCAGGAGCCACAAAGTCATCGGTGGGTTAAATGCTTTGCTCAAGACATCTTGGCAGGTATCCCTTGGTTCTAGCTTGGAGCCCTTCTTATCGTGGCATGCTGCTCCTTTGGGGTCATGCTATAGGATTAGTGAAGGCCAGGCTCTCAGAGCTCAAACTAGACACTTTGCTGTGAAGGAAGATCTGGGGCCATCTAGTGATCTTCCAGTGAAAACCTTTGTGCTTCCAGTGCTCCCAGTTGCTCTTAAAGGAAAGATACACAGGATAGGCTTCCTCCTTCCTGCTGAGCAAGTCAGCAGGAGCTGGCTGGAAGGCAGACCTGCACCCTGCTGCCGTTAATGATATTTTTGCTGGGAGCTGATTTAGACGCTGGTGCATGTAACCACCTCCTTTCATCTAGGATGAAAGGAAAGGATGACCCGTGTCTTTACAGAATAGCTGGCTGAAACAGTCAGAGTCGCCACCCAAAATGTGAGCTGGGTAGATGAGAAATGAAGTTGTGTGCTCAGAGAGGTTTTGTGCCTCACTGTTTGCCACCATGGGAGAGGGATGGAGAGCAGGTTTGTGGGAGCTCTGCAGGCCCTGCTGTAGGCACAGTCCCCTACACGTGTCTCGGCACCATGTGCTCCTGTGCTCTACCAGGTGCCTCTCCGGAATTTCCCAGGGGTCCAGGCAATCTCTCCTCTGTTATTACCAAGTACAAGCATGATAATCTGGGCCCTAATGCATACAGAAGATTATAAAGCAGTGCTTTATGGACCTGCTACAAAAGTACCCATAATCTGCTAATGCCCACAATTAAAAACGGCAGTTGAGCAAATCTGGGCCATTGCAACTTAGTACCCATGCCTGGCAATGGATTCCAGTTCCAGCTGTTTGCCTTGCAATGGAGGGAGACATCTTCTTTATTAGATATCAGTGCTGGAAATAATATCTTGCTTTTTCTGGTTTTGGCAAAACGCCCTGCAAACCTTGGACATAAAGCAAAAATATCTTCTCCATTTAGCAGGTTTTTTGTTCTTTTTAACTATCTGTATGCAAAAAAAAAAAAAAAATGTAGAGAACTGTGCTTGTTTCATCAACCTAGGTTTTGTCATAAAAATTAGCTGGTAACTGTGGTAATTGGCCCCTTTGGAATAAACTTGTCTGTGCAGGCTTTTGGGAGGGAGAGCTTAAACAGAGAAAGAGAAGGAACCTCAGGATGAGCTGTCCAGGGGCTTGGCAAGAGCTAACTGCTACTTCTATTCTGTGGTTGTGGCCCTTGCAAATCTTCTAGTGTGAAGCAGACCTGTATCTGATCAGCTGCCCAAGCTGGGCAGAGCCAAGATATATCTTCAGTATTCCATTTGTCCTTCCAGTCTGTATTCCCTACTCCTACATTTCCATATGCTTGGAGTTTTTTCAATCCTGTGCTGTGCTCGTGCTTCCCGAGAGGCATTGGCTGGAGCTTAAATTTGTAGTGAGAGTGGGAGACAGAGCTGGTGGGAGCGTGTACGGGGGGGTGGTGTGGTCTTACTTTGCCAGGAGGGAGTTTGGATGAGCATTCCCAGGTTATTCCTGC